AGTGGTAGAGCGCTAGCCTTGAGCTGAAGAGCTGAGGGACAGTGCCCAGGCCTAGAGTTTAGGCCCCACAACCGGACCCCCCCCCAAAAAAAAAGAACCCACCATGTACTTCTCAGTTACATGAGAAATGAGCAACCTCAAACTATTCAATATTCAAGTGTAGTAGCATGTGCCTACAATCCCAGCTACCAGCATCTGGGAGGCTATGAAGGAAGGACCTTGAGTTTGAGGCCAATCAAGCATACACAGACCTATCTCAAAACAAGCAAACCAACCTATAAAACACTTCATGAAAAAGTTCAGGCTTTCACTCATAAAAACTCAAGTAATTAAACAAATCTCCAAGTACTATGTTGCTAATTGACTCTGGTCAGTATCAAAAGAAAAAAAACCCCAGTACTTCATTTACTTTCATGAAGTTTTTAATAAACTACTGTTTTCTTACATATTCACTAGTAATCATAAAAAGACAAATATTTGCTACCAAAATTTAAATACTGTGCAATTTATGAAAAATATCACTTTAAGAATATGCAAAAATAAAGTGAGATATCTACTTCAAATAGATTAAATAAAGTTCTACTTTTTAAGAAATCTTACCAACAATAGGGAAATTTCTAAACTGTTGAATATTGAAAACTTTCACTGAAATTAGAGACCTTACTAATTATTTTAGTTCAAGCCTTTATCTATATAGATTTAAATAAACCTTACAAGGATTTTCCACTACACATAAGGCTGCTAAAAAGATCAAATGACTGGGGAACTGTGAACTGTTGGGTAACAGGGCTATTTCTTTCACCTTTACACCCGATTCCTAGTATGACACTTTAATGCTTAAGTAATGCTTTGTTGCTTTCCAAACTGACTGGGGCAAATCAGCATTTCTGCCTTTGGTCCAGTGATTGCTCCATTTTATACTCAGCATTTGAAGTACTTGGGCTGCTCTTGGTTCTGGCCTTTGACTATAAATTAAGTAAGGTAAACCAGCATATACACATTTTCTACCTTAACCTGATAGGATTCTCAAGTTCCACTGTCACCAGGGCTGTAAATCTTCTCTGGTCTGATTTTTACTTCTCAGATCACAGTTAATATTTGTGTGTAAAAATAATGCATTTTCAATGCAAGATAAATAGGTTCATATGGGTAAGAGTGGAATAGAGGTCTATTTTTTCATGTTTTAAAATAACAGATACATAGCATCTTAAATTATTACATAATTAGCAATTTTTAGACATTGAACAATACACTGTATTACAATGCAATGTGATATATGTTTCCATTTAGGAACAAAAAATAATTTCACATGAAAAAAGATTTATTTTAATCCACAAAAAATACATTTAGAACAAATCTAAATTTTTAGCATCCAAGTTTTTTGAAGCAAACACAGAGAGAAACTTTAAGAGGTTTTAATTTCCATCTGTCCAATTCATATATAAAAGCCTTTGCAACTACTGATCATCACCACCTCTCTGCCTTAAATTTCTAGCTTTTCCATTTTCTAATTTTCTCTTTTTGAAGACTGGGGCTACTCCATCTGCTGCAAATCCAAGTGAAGTGACTGTTTTCTCTTTAAATACTACTTTGGGTTCCACAACATCAGCTTCTGAAGTTGATACATACTCATTTTCAGCACTTGGAAGTTCTAAATCTACATCCTCACTGGAATACAAAGCAAAGGTAAAATTATTACTTGACAGAATAGAATAAATATTCTCATATAATCCATGAGTCATCCAAGCCTCAAGATTATCTTTTTCGTAATAATGGTATAATTAGAAGGTGGTCATTCTGGAACAGTAAACGATGTTAAGTGCTGATTTTATGCTCTAAGATTTTGAACTTAGCCAGGTACAAGTGTAGTCCTCACACTCAGGAGGCTGTGATCTTCAGATCTTGGTTTGCAGCCAGCCCTGGCAGAGAGCCTGGGTAGACAAATCTAAGAAATTCTTATCTCCAAACTATAGCTGGAAAGCAATGTGGTTCAAGCAGTAGAGTGCCAGCCTTAAGTGAAAAAGCTACGTAAGAGCATGCGGCCCTGAGGTCAAGCCTCAGCACAGGCACAGAAAACAAGAGACTTTGACTTCTTAGTTAGATGGACATGTAAGGAAAAGCCTCATTTATTCTTTTATTTCTGTTGCACAAATACATATCATCTTAGAAAAAGTGTTTTATATATAAACAGCACAAGTACAGATAAAGAAAAAGAATGTTTAGAAACTGATTTTGCCATGGACTGCCAAGGTTCTGAAGAATCACCTAACATAAAATAGAATCTTGCCAGACTCATGGCTGTAATCCTAGCTACTCAGGAGGCTGAGATCTGAGGATTGCAGTTCGAAGCCAGCCTGGGTAGTAAAGTTGCCATGAGACTCTTATCTCCAATTAACCACTCAAACACCAGAAAGGGAGCCATGGCTTAAAGTGGTAGAGTGCTGGCCTTGAGTAAAGGAGCTCAGGGACAGTGCCTGGCCTGAGTTCAAGCCCTGAAACTCCTCCCCTACCCCCCCAAAAAATCTCATGGTGTAGAAGAAAACACAGCTGTCTGCTGTTCTGTACTTAATCTTTCAACTACACACATGGTTCTTTATAAGTAATCTGTGATTGGTCTTAAAACCAGTAGCTGATTAATATGAGCCTATCACGGGATCTTATGCACTTATCAGGGATGGGGAATGTGATGCCTGCAGGTTGTAAAAGGCCCTCATGGGGCTGGGACAAGGTGGCTCAGTGGTAGAGTGCTTGCCTTGCATGCATTAGACCCTGGGTTCGATTCCTCAG